TCGCGGCAGAGATTCTTGCATGCTCATCATTATCTGTAGGAGCCTGTGCCGGACTGAGCCGCGAGCGAGTGTGGTATGTAGTATCCGTGGCGTGGCGTGGCAGACAGCAAACTTTGATTGATCTTCGCCGTTTAATGGCACTTTGTGTGGGAGAGCCTCAGAAACAGAGAGACTTGTGTGAGGCAAGGGGGGAAAAAGGGTCCTTCGAAATCGTGGTGTCATCGAACAGACATGTTTTTTTTCCCTCTCGCTTATCGGCCCTGATGCGGACTGCGGGAAACATCAGGCTTGAGATTTGCTTTTCAGAAATCTTGCTGCAAGTTGACTATTGCGGTATATGGACTGAAGTTTTGATTTCCATCTCGCAGGTGTTTTGGGTGATGGGCAAGTGTGAAAGTAAGGTGAGATAAAGTGTAGATATTCTCGCCTGTGCGGGTGCATGTGCATGGTTGATGTACGTGAGCTTTATCTCTCTTAGACTCATATGTCTGCTTGTCTGGATGCACGTGAAATGTCCTTGCGAGCTTCATGTCTGTGCTGCGCCGTGTGCTCTGTCCTTTTTCTCACCCTATCCCAATCTTCCTGTTGAATCTCCCTGTTGAATCTCTTTGGCGATAAGGTTCCATTTGGTTGTTGGTGTGTAAGCTTTCTAAACGGTTCATCTGGAAATCAAAAACCACTGGTGCTTGCGATCTGCACAGCCGACGCGTGCGGAAGGACGAGCGAGCCGAAAGTTCTGCGCGGCGGGAAATATCTCCGACACCACGCCAAGAAACTGCCAGGCGATTTGACAAAACTTTGGTTTTATTTTATTTTATCACGGGCGAGACAGGCAAGAGTTTAGCTGTGCTTCGATGCAAATCTCACGCGAGACATTTGTCGGGCAGGGACGTGTATGCGTGTGTGGTCGCCCGTACGCACACCTCAACTCACAACCGCCCTTCTTACATGCGTCGCCTACCTACCTGTCAATGTCTGACTGATATGAATTAGCGAGAGCGAGGAGTGTAAGTAAGGTTAAGGTTGGTGTGGGAACAGAGAGACGTGATGAACCGACATGCCGTGCAGGGGAGGACGAGGGATGCGCAAGAGACTGCGTTTCTCCCTTCCCCCCGCATTGGTCGAGTCCCCGACTCTGCCGTCTGTCAGAAGCCGATTCGTTCATGGCCTCTGAAAGATGTACCGGTATCCGTCGGTAGGTCAGGATATGTGGTGTCACTCCTGTTCTGTTCGGATATTGTCATCCCACCGGCCGGCCGTAACAGGCGCTCAGTGACGGATGGGCGACGGCCTAAACCGAAAGGACCACTCTAACTTCTCCGTAAACAACGGGGAAAGGAAAGAAAGAGGCGCACGAGCACGAGGTCCTCAGGTTGGTGTACCCGAGTCAACTTTCTGGGAAAGTTTGTTAACGGACGCTGAACAGCGTCGTTGGTTCAGAATAGGTCAAGGGTCTAGGCCGTTCGAGCCAGCGAGCGTGGGAGAGAAAACGGGCTCTTCGAGCAGAAAAGGCGTGCGGATGTACGTGCTCCCGTGCCCGCATGTTGTTCTACGGAAGGCGGATTGTCGGACTGTGTGCTCCCTTCGAACCGTCTGCCTTATCTGGCCTTGCATGTGCCGATCCAAGGTTGCAATGCAGGATGACTTTTGGGGGGTCATGAGGGGGCAAGAGTGGGAGAATATGGGGGAGCATTTTGGGTAGCACTGTGGCATGAGGCTGTGTTGAATGTAACAGCATTTCGAAACTATCGCGATAGCTATCTTGGACCATAAGGCCAGACGATCGAGGGGTTTGTTCCCTTAGAGAGAGCAGACTGACACATAACTGCTGATCCCCGCGAGAGACTCTCAGAGACACTCAGAGACAGAGAAAGCGGAATGCGGGACTCGGGAGGGGACAACTTGAGGTCTGCCGTTTGCAAGGGAGCTTGATCCCGGAGCTATCCTGAAAGGGGCATGTTGCATTGCTCGCTTCGCGATCCATGCTCTGCCTCTCTCGCCCGGCCCTAAGACAATCCCATCTCAAAGCTTGTTTTTGCGCCGTGTGTCTCCCGTGCCTCCCGCACACCTCTTTCTGACTCTCGATCTTCGACTCTGAAGCGTCAATGGTGGAAGATATCCCGTGCCTACTCTTCTCTTGGATCTTCCGTACAAGTTGTGTATTGTACTGGCGAAAGTCGTGCTACGTACGCAGAGGCCAAAGGGAAAAGGCTCGGCGCAGTGTCTCAGCGCCGTTGGAAACAACAAGAAAAGCCATTTCCGTTCAAATCACCTCATCTCCACAGAGAAGAAAAGTTACACACGCTGAACAGAATTTGGGTGCCTGGAATGTCACTGCAAGAAATGTCTCGGGGCAAGATGCCCTCTTCCCTCTCGCCTCGCTCTACCCCCGTTCCCGTCCCACCCCTCCTTTTCGTGATCCTATGAAGCGTGGCCGCCAAAGGCCTTTTTTCTTACATACATACATCAACTCCACAGGGCATCGTTCCTCACGATGGGAAGGCCTGTCTGTGTTCCCCGGCAGAGTGCCGCGGGCCGCGAGTGGATGTGCTGGGGTGGGTGTGCAGAAGAATTGGAGCACTCTCACACACATACACACACATACACACACATACACACACACGGATAGACGGGGAGAGGGGCATGGACATGGGCATGGCATGGCATGGCATACTGCGTAGACAGAACAGTCATGACAGAGAGAGAGAAACAAGCAGGATACTCAACTCGACAGCCAACAGCGAATGCAGCTCGCTTCTCACTTTCTTTCTCGTCTCGCGTCTTGATGTGCAGCTAAGCGGCGGCGCAAGGGCGAGGCTAAGCCGCATCCTGCATATAGTCTACTGCAAGACGGTTGGCTGTTGGCGAGCTGCATGGTGGATGGCAGGCTGGCAGCCAGAGATTCTAAGAGAGAGGGCGCTTCCTGCTCATCTATGATTGTTGCTTTTTTCACTCTCTTCGTCGTTCTTCCCCTTGAACCTCGTTTCTTCTTCTCAAGTTCACTTCCGGGAGAGGGCTTGGGCTGCATGAGCTCTTCTCGCTTCCTCTCCGAACTCCCTGTCTCTGATTCTGTCTGTCTCTCAGACTTCTCTACCCGTCGGCCCCTCACCCCCCTCACACACACCCCTACCCCCCCTTTATGATTCTGTCCTGGTGTATCCGTACCTGTCAGTGTGTCAACACAACCCGTCAAGCTCCAGGTCGCGTTTTTCTATCGAGATGTGCTAGGGCCCCCCCGTGTCGATCCTCTGAAAGCTTGTGGCTGCCCATCCGTCGACGATTGATTTTAGTTCATCCTTCTTCTGCCGTTCAACATTCTTTCCTTCTCCTCGAACCGTGTCCGACTAATTCTTATTTCTCTTACTCTCGAAAGACCTTGTTTACCCCCTCGTTAGGTCATTGCGGATTCAACTTCCAAACGGTCGATAAACAAGCATAAATCCTTCTTTGTCGTTTTCCCCTTGTCCTACCTACCTGATTGAACACTCGCAAAACAAACTCATTCGCCCAGGGATCACTTTGGGGCTTGGGGGAACTCGAAAAACCACACTGCCACTTCTTCCCCTCTCGACCTCGTACCCAGTCCTACTCACAGCTCCCTCCAAACAGCGCCTCAATCACCTCCCGCCTCAAAAGAGAACACAAAAGAAACACATACACACACACACAATGTGCCGCCTCGTGCTCTTCGCGGGCACCTGCACCCGCTGCAACGAATCCCTCACCTGGGCCGACCTCTCCCAGCAGCTATCGTGCCTCGAGGCCAAGAACGCCGACAAATTCGGCTCGTGTCGGCGTGGCGTTGATGTCGAGACACACGCCTTTGACCAGGAATGCGACGCCTGCGCCGGCGAGGACGAAGGCGTTGCCGGTATGGACTTTGGTGAGCAGGATTTTCAGCAGTATCATCATCAATATCAACAGTATCAGCAATACCAACACCCGTCATCAGCAGCATACACAGCAGCAGGATCGTCGTCATCGGCGTCAATACCCCAACCCGGCTCGAGCAAGAGGGGCCGGGACGAAGGGGAGGGAAGGAAGAAGAAGAAGGCGAGGACGTGAAAAGCTCAACGAAGCTTGCGATAATGATGGAGTTATGACACGGTTCGAACTTTGGGGAGGATGTTTGTCCATCTCTTCCTTTTCCCTCTCTCTCTACTCTCCTGGCGAGGCGTTTGGTGTTCGACAAGGAATACACACATAATGGCATTGGGGGCTTCAGGACTCGGGATACCACCGGACGCGATGGTGTTGCGCGCACATGTGGGATTGGCATTGGCATCAATCGATTGGAACCACATCAGCAACATCACAGGCACATGACGCATACGACGACGATCAGGACAAAAGGGCAGGCAATAATGTTATTTTTGGGCGGGCACACTGGGCTTCAAGGTCACAGGTGTGTGTGGCAGGCCTGCGGCGGACTCTCCGCTGCATTCCTGAGGGAGAGGAGAGATACCCTAGTCTACCTTTTACCTACGTTAGTGGCGTGGCGATCGGGAGGGGCTCCTAGCGAGGGGATCCGCGCCCCTTGGCATGCGGGTGATGTACGACACGTCTCGCATATTCCTTGCGGGCATCGAGAGGTCACGATGGATTGCTCTATGACAAGAGAAGATTTTTACAGTTAATACAAAAGCGCAATCGATTTCGCAGCATGAGGCCTCGTTTCAATACCTCATCCTTTGTCCTGCTATTGAGGTTCTCATGGGGTGAGCCAGGGTTACTTCCGCCAGTGCACGATCAGATGAGGTGCCATTAATGACTACATGATCCGACCTAAACTCATTGTTAGACACCAGTCGACCGTGGAACGAAGCCAAGTATCGTGATGAATCTGGGCGAACGATTGATATAATGCATTATATGGCACCTCTACCCTCCCGAGATGCCGCTTATCAGCCTACAAGAAGCTTACACGAGAGAAGTTTAAGTCGTTCTAGATCTTATTCTGGTGCTAAATTCACTGGGGCATACTCAATCTACTTCTATTCTCAGAACGTGCTGTTGCCTCCGTCATAGTTGAGGAAGTCAAAGTCAAAGTCAGCATCCAACAGTGAAGGATCCAGTGGTTCCTCTCCTTCGAGGAATCTCCAGTTCAGCGTATCCATGCCGGTCGCTTCCGACCGGGCAGAGTGAACTTCCTGCTGCGAATCATCGAGGGAAAGGTGTCCCGCTAAGTTATTATCCGTATTGAGAACGGTTTGCGGTACCGCTGCCACCTCTCCCTCGTCGTTACCAGGTGTCCGGGCCGTATTTGTCGAGGATTCGTCGAGAGCTGCTAGCGGCATCGGCGGCGGCGGCGGCGGCGGCGGCGGCCTCATTGATGGTGACCCTCGTCGATTCAAGTTTCGAGCTTCCTCTTGTCTCCTTTCGAAGTTGCGCCTCATCGTGAGCTCCAGATCATGGACAACACCTCGCAGTCCTGCTATAAGCTCCGGTTCCACGTTCGCAAATCTCTGTTCAACCTCCGCCTCGATACGCTGTCGGAGGAGTATCATGATCTCCCGTCGAGCATATTCTTTCCAGGACTCTTCCCGGCCGAGAGCCGTGATGTCGTGGTCGTAGTCTGCAGACGTTCCAAGTTAGCCTTGTCTACTTTTGTACCTTTATCGGACTATCACTTACAAGGTGTGGGTATTTCATCTTCCCTTACATCGAAGAGTATCCTGTATACTGCCTTCCACCTTTCTGCCTCTGTTTGCTTCGGCGAAGATTTCACCTTGAGCTGCCTCTTAGCGTCAGGGCCAAACTTGAACTCCCTGAGTAAATCTGATTCGTTGATGATGTCGCAAAGCTGATCGATGGATCCGACTCTGAGATGCCAGTCCAGTGCACTTTGTTTGTCAAACCAATTGCAACATCTGCTGCATTGGAACGGTGGTCTCTCATGGCGCCGATAGAGGTGCTCTCTGGGAGTAATCAGTCATGAGTCGATGGTATACCTAAGTCAACAGCAACAGACTTACTTCACGCGATGCACTGACTCCCATCCCGGACCTGAACAGTCTTTCTTCCTCACGTATGCTAGAGGATTCCACTTGAAGAACGGACACGCAAATAAGATGCCTCCCATTTCATCTCGGCAGCGTGGTACTTTGCGGGTCCTCTTCTTACCGCCGTCCTCTTCGTTATCGCTTTCGTCGCATTCATCTTTGTCACCGGACTTGCCCTGGTCTCTCCATCCCCCAGTTCCTTGTTTTCCGTCGCATGATTTATGTCTTTTTCGAGGCATTTGGCTCCGTTCACGCATAGTTGACCCCTCGGCCTGAGGCGAAACTTGGGCAGGTTCACCTGCATCCTCTTCTTTGATAGCGACAAAACTGCCGGTGATATCCTCTAAGTGACTATCCAAGTCGTGAATAAACGCATCCATGACTGTTTGAACGATCTGGCGCCTCTCCGCTTCCCTTGCTCGCATTTGTTGTTGTTGTTTATCCGCCGTCGAATCGCTCGCAATATCTGACTCTCCGTATTGGGAGACTGAACTCTCACCCACAGCCACTTGACGCTCATTCTCATGCGGCGACCAAGTGCTTTGAGTCTTCAACCGATAATCAGGCGATTCATGATCAGGCGTTTGACAATCAGATGTTTGATTGTCCGAGAGCTCAAGAACATCGAAGTCGATACCTTCTAAAGAGTTCTTTGAGGGATTGTATCCAAAAGTTTTGATCGATGATTGTCCCACGTGCTCCAAAACTGGTGGAGATACATGTCCGGGCCTCTGTGGTGGCCAGGAGTCTTCAGTGTCGAGTTCGTCGGAACATTCGATGGATAATTTTGTCTGGCTGCGCATGAAAATGGTAGCTGCAAAGTCCTTAGCGTTTTGTGGCGATACCACGAGACTTGGTGGTAGGTGTATACTGGTGTTAGTAAAGTGGAGTGGAAGACCCTTTCTTGAGTATCGCCCTTCTTGCTCGTCGTTATTCTCAGGAGGATGCCGACTAGCCAAGACCTGTAAGTCTTTGCTTTCCCTGAAGACTGGATCAATTTGACGGCGGCTTTTCCTTCCCGAATGTGCAAGTAGAAAGGATTCTCCGAGGTAGTCGCTCCTCTCAACATTCCCAAAGTTTGGTTTCAGGGTTTGGGGCTTTCGAGTCCAGAAATCACGAGCCGTATTCCTACTCTCTGAGGATGCGGTCTGATAGTCGCTTGTTGCGTCGTTCGTTTTGTCGTCCGTCTTGTCGTTCGTCTGGAAATTCGGGCCAAGGCTTTCAGATCTCTGAGCGAAAATCTTTGCTGGAAGGAGCTCGAGGAGCTCCAGACACTCTGCTGGCTTGAAATGACCGAATTGGAGACAATCGAAGGCTTTTGTGATGAGACTGTCCTTGCCGAGAAGCTTCTGGCAGAGAGCATAAACTTGATCGATGAAGTATCGGCTCGCAGTTTTGGTATCATCAATCTGTGTAATACCATCCCAAACGCCAAAGAGCACTCTCATCAGCTGGGGGTGCTCATCCGTGATGAGTTCATCGAGGTCTTCCAACAGTTTTGTCAGGGATGAAGGTGAAAGTGTGTCATGACTGCCGTTGATGCGGAAATACTGGATGATTTGGCCGGCTTCATTGGCCCACTTAAACAAGTGATATCCCTTGGTGATGGAGTCTGCGAACAGGGAACCCGTCTTGACTAATTCCACGATATGCTGACCTAGCAATGAAGAAAAGTCTGCCTTATCACGTGTGGTGTCTTTGGAGGCTCCCCAAATTCCTAATTTATAGATGAGTTGCTTCCTCCTTAACGGTCGGAAGGTTAGTATCTCTATTTGCAAGTGTTACGGTGTAGCGTACTGCACAGAGACACCGTGTAATATCCTCAAGTATTGGAGCAGTTCATCTATAGGGTGAAATCTGTACAGTTCGAGAATCGGCTGCTTCTCCTGCTCCAATATAGTATCCACGCGCATCCTGAGTTCGCCGGGAGGAAGCATCGCGGGTTCGACTGGGTTGATTTCCATGATTCGCCAGACTTTTTTTCGACAATAGAATATCCCGGCTTGTGGCAATGATTCACTTGACAAGGCTATGACACAAGGGGATTTTGAAAGTGTCGAATGGAAAGCAATGGCACTCTTATGGTCGGAGGATCGCTGGACGTGCCGGTGCGCGCAGTTGCGCACATGGGTGTCTGCGAGAACACCCGAATTCCTCAACACTTGTCAGCCTACTTCGCCAGCTGGGATGAGGGGCTGATTCCAGTACACTTTGGAGTCAGCTCAAGTGCATTGTGTCACAAAACCATGGTTAATGAAACAGCTAGCTCTGTTGCCTGAGCGAACCACTCAGCTCCAAGTTTGAGGGTGTCGTAGACCAGGGATGTCATTGGAGCCATAGACAGGTGTGGCTATTTCCTGTCACTGCACGCAAATGGCTGCATGCTTCGCTAAGCAATGGGCGGACCAAAGGATGAACTTTTTGGAGAATGAAACGGTTGGCCTTGCGTCTCGTCCCTCTGTCCAAAGCTCTTGTGACAACTGGATTAGATGGGTGGCAATGTAGACCTGAAGACATAGAGTGGGCACGGAAGCGATAATGTTCAACGGCCAGGCAGCCTCAGATTACATGAGGGTATGAGGCAATGAAATGTACTCTGCGAAGCGGCTGGAGAAACTGTTCTCAATGATCTCTTCCATTAGGAAGGCGCAGCACAGGACCACAAGTGACAAAGTCGCAAGAGTCTGCTCACCCATGACAACACAGCCAGCTTACACGAACGCCATCACGTCGTAAATTTGAAAAGAGCAGCTGGCTGACAAAAGCCAGACCCTGATCCTGTCCTCAGATGCCCGCTTCCCTTTGTCCCGTTTTTTCAGCTATCATGATACCTTGAGGAGGACAGCGATTTTGGTACGGGCAAACGTCAACTTAGAAGAGGTTTGAAGATGAATAAGACTGACTTTGAGGGTTAACTAGCTCCTCAAAACGGTCAATCCTCGTCTACCCACGCTCCTGGGACTCGTAAAGGCGGATTCTCGATCAGATCCCAAAAATCGCCGGCGAATTCCTCGGCTTCCAGACTCCAGACAAGGTTCCAATCTCCAGGTTCTGGCCCATAAGTGAAAGATACCAGTCGCAGGCCAGGTTCATATATCGTACTATTGTCCCAGGTCCTCAAACGTTCTTCTTGCAGCCGCGCCTCCCGCTTGAAATACTCCATCTCTCGACGGCCGTATTCTTCGAGGTCATGACCTGATATCTGCACGTCCTCCAGCCACCTTCGTAGAAATAGGGAGATTTTGCGTTTATATTTTGAGTGATCCCAAGGAGTCTTGTAAAGCGCGGAAATGAGTGGCGTGTAACAACGGGGTTCCTCCTGGGCGGCGTCAACAGACATCTGCATGCTGAGCCTTTGAGAGGACACTCCTTGAACAACCCACCGCACAAGTTTTCTCCAGCTAGACTTCTCATCGAAGGCCATCTTCGTTGCGTAGCACGATACGAGGCTCTCTAGAGAGCTGTCGAACGATGCATCGAGAATCACAATGAATTCAGCGGGCTTGATACCTCCATCGTGCTGTATATCGTGTAGTAGGATCTTTGGGTCGACATGGTACCAGTCTAAATGCGCGTAACGTACTTTCAGCGGGAGTTGATAGTACGTGGTCGCCAGGCTTCTCGTCATATATTGGTGAGCTTCGTGGTCCTTCCATATAAAGCTAGAGATGGCAGATAAGTTCAAGGTGGTCTCGTCTGGGGTAAAATAATCTTCCAGGCAGTCATCGAGGGCGACGTGAACCCAAATTTTGAAGAGCTCCAACGTTTCATTCGATTTGCATAAGCGTGCAAATGGAGCGAGACCCAAGGTTTGGCCATCCACGTCGTCCAAGCGTAAACCTATGCCAAGCAAATGACGAATAATTTCGATTCTTTCCCAATTGACTGCAGACTGAGATTTAGTCAGCGTCATAGCCATGTGCTTCTTTGTAGATACGCATACATGTAGCAGTGTCCATCCATCTTCGTCACGGTCGAATAACGATGACCGATGCTCCTCAATCTCACGTAGCGCGGGTATCCAGTAGCCACGCTCTATATACTCGAATATGGGGGTACTGCTGTAAGGTCGGACTGTCCAAGCTCGCAGGCAGAACTTCCATCCAGCGTGCGCTCGGTACGTCTGAATATCCCAGAGTCTCGCTGACACCCACCAAGGTAGCTGTAATCGTGCCTGGTATACTGCGAAGTATTACTATGACCCTTGCGCTTCACAAACTTGCCTAGGCACCCACCTTGAACGTCGTGATACTTAGAGTGCGGAACAGTCCGACTGGTAAAGCCGCCGAAGAAGGAAGACTGTGCATTGTGGAGTGGCTCCATTCTGGATGCTTTCCTAACAGAAGCTACACTGTTGAAGTCTGGCTCGTCTGTCAGCCGCACTTGTCGGCTTGAGTAAGCCTCGACCGTGAATGCGGTCGTTTCCGGTGTCTTAACGCCACTCGTAGTTGACTCGGTCCTATTAGTGATGGAGGCACTGGAAGCGTCGTTAGCAATGTCTACTTTCCGAGTAAATCGATGCGCTTACAATATCCTCGTATTTTGTGATAGCAACGCCATTTGCAGGGCGAACTGTAGCTTTTGCTGACAGCTCTGTATCAGGTCCTTTTTAAGCGTAACCCTGAGCTTCGTTATGCTCCTCCGTGACTTCTTCGCGGTAAGAATTTGCTGTTGTAAGTCTGTCGCCAGTATCTCCAGCTCGTTCGCCACTTGCTGACAACATCTCAGACTAGCATCTGAAGTGCCAGTACTCGGCGTGCCCGCCTTACTGAGCTCCACATCCATCTCTGTGAGGATAGCATTAAGAATGTCAACCTGTTCGACGAGCTGGTTGATCTCGCGGGGCACATCCTGGACTTCGTTCCAAAGCTTCTTGAGTTTGATTGTGCTGGAACCAAGCTTGCCGGCAATCTCGACGACGGTGAAGGCGCTGACGACAACGCCGAAGGCTTCCGCCATTGTGGATGGAGGTCGAACCTTTCCCTAAGTCACTGGTAATCTCTGCCGGTCTCAAAATTTCAGGCCAGGGGTTAAATGATTGATGGTCGTCAAGAAAGGCTCCGCTACAAATTAGAAGAATAGCTAGCCAGGCGTACGGGGCAGACCGAAGGGGGGTTGATGCGCTTTTCAACGCCCGAATTAAGCAGGCTGCGCGGCAGATAAGCCCCAGCAGTGCCTCCCAAGCGTCAGGCTTTCCTGCAGGCTGGATGTGCTGCATGGAAAGAGCCAATTGAGACCCAACACCACATCACTCGAACTGTCAGACCAGCGTTGCGTCTACCAATGAAAGTGAGCGCAAGGCGGGAAAAGACTGCTTCTTGATAGAATCGCATTGGCTTGCCACCATCAGTCCACGCCCATACTTCGATCAATCTTTCCTCACAGAACAATAGCCGCTGATACTACGAGAAGATCAGTAGTCGTACATCAAATCCAAACAAAGAGGACTTACTAGGTTCCGCCTTGACTCTCAGGCAGCACGTGCATCGTAAGTTCACATCACTTCAATGAGATCTCTCAAAAGATAGGCTTTCGCACCCAGTTATGACATGGTATAATTCTTCAAGAAAGTCTACGGTATGCCCCCGCGTATCCCAATCTATACATGTGAAGACGAAGGAAAGGTATCATCTATGAAAGTGATAAGTGTTTCGACCAACGAAAGTAAGTACATCACCAGCCTACTGAATGGTTGGAGGCGGCGTTGGTTGTCGTTTCGGCCTTGCAGGTGCAACTTCCGGTGGCGGCGGTGCGGGCTTGCGTTCATCATAAGCCGGCTCCGGAACAGCCTTCAGTGATTCTGGCTTGGTCTTTGGAGCCTCCGAAGCAGCCTGTGGTGGCTCTGTTGCAGTCTTCACAGGTTCTGGAGTCTTGTCGGCAGTTTTTGAAGCGTTCTCGGGTGTTCGTTCTGACGGGGCATCAGCAGACTTCGTCGGCGGCGTCGGCGGCTCAACCTTCTTCTTAACCAAGTCCTCGTCCCACACATCCTTCACAAGGCCCCAATACCTCGACGAATCCAACTTGGCATGCGCAACATGCTGACTCCCATCAAACCTCTCCTTGCGGACCTTGAACCCGACCTCGGCAGACTCATCCGCGTGCCTCTCCACATCACCCCAGTAAATCATCTCATCCTCTTTGCTGTACAAATACGCCCGCCGCCTCTCACTGCCCAAAAGCGACTTTTGCCGCAGCGCCGCCCACATCTTGCCAAAGAACCCGACGCGCCCGAACGGGACGTGGAAGAGCCAGAACCAGCCGATGAAGACGTGTGCCAGCGGCGCCAGGACCCGCGGCATCGAAGCCGAGATCGCGCGGTAGCTCCGCATCCAGTGAAATCCTCCGGGACAAGAGTCGTAGAGCGTCACGTGCGGCGGGAGCTCCAGACGGCCTGCGCGATCCGCATCGGCGTAGAGCTCAAGGAACTTTGCGAGGTTGGTGGCGCCACCGTTGGAGAAGACGTGGAAGAGGAGCTGCGGGGCTCGCTGGCCCGCCCCTGTCTCGGACGAGGCCGGCGGAGGGACGGAGTCTGCTACGGAGCGGATCACGGGCACCGCTGGCTTGATTTGCCGCTTGGAGATGCGGTTGGAGAGGGTGTGGATGAAGGGGCACTTCACGAGAAGGATGCTGGCGGAGGGGTACATTGCCATGTAACGCGATGTGTACTTTGCAATGTGGACGTCCTGGGCCGACATCCAGCTGAAGATGGCGACGAGTTTGGGTGAGTTCGGGTCCGGGACGGATGAGGGCGGGTCGTAGAGGAACGTCGTGGGTGAGAGCTCTTGCATGGCTGGCAGGGGTCCGGCAGCGCCGGTGGGCTGGTTTGATGCCATGGTCAGTGTGATTTGGGTTGTCGTGTGTGAGAAACTCTCGACAGCGACCGTTGCTTTTTGCGACCAACTATCCGATGAAGAATCCCGGGGAAGGGTTACAGTCAACGTTCAAGGTAGAGATGCGGGAGGGAGACGAGGTGAGGTTAAGATATAACGTAGTCAGAGCTCCAATGGGATGGACGGGTCACCTAGGCAGTACATTCTCAGCCCTATCCTCGGGTCTTGTCGTCATCATGTTAAGGTTGGCTAGGTTACCCTTTCCGGTAAGTGCCTCGGCTTTACATCCCTGCCGCACGGGACTTTGGATGTCTCAACCAAATCCTGAGGGATTCACGTTGAGATCTTGGCTTCAATTCTCTATCATTGTCAAAAAAATTGATGGGAAAATGAGGCAGTCCGATCAGACCGGGGTGACACGAGTATAGTCAGGCCAGCGGCCCGCCGGCGGGACATGGACTCCGATTCTTGTAGGCCGATCGGTCCCCAACTTCGGAGCTGAGATCGGGGGTGTCAGCACCTTATTCTGGCAGCATATGTTGTGGGATGGAACCCATCGTATTGGTGATTATGTCATGAGCCCGCTGTGAGTCCTCGTCAGACATTGCCATGTATCATTAACGTTGCTCAATACAATTCTGAGGTTAGACCCTATGTAGTAACCGTAGTGAACAGTAGTGCCCCAGATTTCAGGGGTTCAATGGACGTCGCTTCTCGTGTCAGTCGACTCGGTTGAAACGAAGTTCAATTGGTGGCAACGACAGTGGGCCGGGCATACTGCATGACGACAATGGTGGCACGTTGGGCAGGACATATGCGGATGGCGCGCCATCTCGCATTTAACATGAAGGAACAAACAGATCTGCCGAGCAGGGGTTGAGAGCTGAGAGTTTAGAGACCGAGGTGTATGCTCGGATTTTTTCTTTCACAACACGTTGACAGCACGTTGAGAGCATATGGTTTGGCCGCGAATGACAAGCGTGAACAAACATAGGACCCATCTGGTGTTACCGAAGCTGGATGGCGCAGTGGCGAGGCAGGACTTTTGTAAACTCGAGAAGCTATCTACCTGAGATCAACAGATGCTGTTTCAACCCGATCACATTTGCTTGAGCCGACTTCCGATAGCATGTGCGTGGTCTGAGACTCCTTGCGTTTGTTCAATAAGCTGGCCGACTCCCGAGTAACGTCTGGTCATACTGGTACCTGAATGGCATACCTGGCAAATGCTGCAGGTATCCGTCTAGTGTAATCAAAGCAGTCTGAATGAGACGGAATATCGAAACCCTAGCTGAACTTGATGAATTCCCATTGTTTCAATCAGATACTTAAATCATATTGCTCCCAATTCCTATGCCCGACCATAAGCAAGATGTGCTACAAGGGGGATCGCGGATGACCCCCACAATAACACAACCACGATGAGCTAGGCTCTAGTTTATGGAAAGTATTCAAGTCCGAAGATTACTGAGCTAGAACCAGCTTCTGTCTTGAAGTAATGTGACATTCGTAAATATGGGTCGATAGGAAGTTGCCAAGGTCGTTTGTATTAATATGTAAGGGAGTGTAAGCCGCAGATGAGATATAAATGAAATCTACACCAACAGACCGAATAGCTTACCTATGGGCAGCGAGAGTGGATGAAATCGGGGACTCGTTGCGGGTCTCGGCTATGAGCCATGAGCCATGAGCTTCTTAGGTGATTCCGTCGTCGTTTGTGAGATTTCAAAGCCAATGGAAGTATCAATGATATGGGCGGGAACTTCGCAAATGCCTTACAAGTCAGTGGCAAACTGCAACTTCCTCAACGGGAGGCCAGGATATCAAAGGAAGGTACGCTGTTTCCGTGTGGATCTAATCCTTCCAAGATGGACGTGGCATCCCGAGCAAACGATCCAAGGCAAGCGGTACTTGCCCTTCCCGTCATCCACGATGGCAACCACTTCATGTACCTCCTTCCAACTTCTAGCAGTCACAGCCATACACACGCTTTCCTAATGTTACAATTCGTCCAAAGGGAAGTAACGCAGACGGGACCAGCCGAGATGGGAAGCACATTCGTGTTTGCTGCGCCTTCCTGCCGTCACCGTCCACCCCGAACACACGTCCGAGGATTGTCCCCCATTTCAAAAACCCTTCATCTTCCTCGCCATAGACAGCTTTCCTCAGCCTTTCTCTCCGACATTTGACCAGCGTCCTCGTTCATCTTCAAAAAGAGACTCAAGCTGTAGCTCAACGGTCTCGTCCCTTCTCTTGTTCCATCCATCATTCCTTTCAACCACCCTCATTTTCCCATTCTCTCCGTAATCCAAGACGCCATGAAGGTCGCCAATGTCCTCTCCTCTCTGTTGGGAGTTGGTCTCCTGTCCGCCGACGCCGTCTTGGCCAAGGACAGACGCCGTGTCGGTGTCGAGATCAAGAGCCCTCTCAAAGGCGTCAACTTCCAGCGCATCAAGGCCTTTCGTGAGGCTGCCCCTGATGAGGTCTCAGGCCGCACCCAGAAACTAAAGCCATTCCATGGCAGAATCACCGGCCACAACGCCGCCACTGCCTTGGGCGCTGCCCAGCCTCGAGATCTCTCTTCCAGCTACCAGAACATCACAGCCTTGTCTCCTTGGGGTACTCAATATGCTGTCGAGGTCACCTGGGACGGCAAGCTCATCAACATGATCTTCGACACCGGCAGCAGCGACACCTGGGCCACCAGTTCCAATCTGACGTGTACCAACCTGTCAGGCACTGCTGTCTATTCCCCTGAATCTTGCGGCTTTGGACCGGACAAGATTAACGACTTCAAATATGGCCCCGTCGAGGATGTCCACTTCGCCTTGAGCTACGGTTCTGGCGAGCGAGTGTCCGGCCCCATGGGTTACAGTGACATCGAGGTGGCCGGCATCGTCGTCAAACAACAGCAGGTCGGCCTGGCCAACAAGACGTACTGGATGGGCAACAACTACACCAACGGTGTTCTCGGTCTTGCCTATCCCTCGATCACTAGTGCTTTCACTGGCGACATGAATGAGGATCGCCCTGCCTTCCAGGTTCCATACTCGCCCTTCTTTACCAGCATGGTTCAGCAAGGACTCTCTTCAGACGCCTTCAGCGTTTCTCTCGTCCGCAATTCGTCTGGCGTAATTGGATGGGGTGGCCGCACTGGTCTGCCAATCACTGGCCCCACGGCCTACACCGATCTCATCATTGTGAGTTTTGACCAAAACAGGATGACAGCTCAGTATGACTTACAATCTTGCAGACCAGCATCAACTCACAGCGTCCCGACGGTAGCTGGCAATACTCATACTACACCATCCTCGTCGATGGCTTGCGTTGGGGATCCACGAGCGACACCAAGAAGTACCTGTACATTGTCGACACTGGCACGACGCTCATGTACGTGCCTCCGCCCACAGCCGAGGCTATTGCCAGATCTTTCTCCCCCAGTGCCATCTACTTATTCCAGTATGGCGGATACTTCGCCCCTTGTGATGCCATTGCTCCCAAGATAGCCGTCATCATCGAAGGCGCAAGCTTCTTCATCAACCCTGTGGATCTCATCTACCGCGGACTGGTGGACCCTCTCACGGGTTACTGCCAGATTGGTATTACTACCGGTGGCAAGGGTCCGTACATCCTGGGTTCAGTCTTCCTACACAATGTCGAAGCCTACTTTGACGTTGGTGCTGGTCAGGTTCGCTTCTACGGTCGCGAAACCTACGGTGCCACTCCTCAGCTCCCCGAGAAGTAGAAATGCAAGCAGCGGTTTGGTAGTTTCGAGGACACTTCATCAGGTCTTTTGTGATTCGGACTGAGACTACTTAATTTCATGTAGGCTGTTCAACAAGATTGGGATGAATTTGCTGGGGTTGTTTTGGGGTCATGTTGGCCAAAGACATAGTAGCTTACACAGAGTTGTACTTGTACTGGTGAGATAGGGTTCAGTCTAATGAATGCCACTTGCCTCATACTTTCTTTGAATGCTCACTTGGAATCGTGTTGGTGAGGTAGTAACCTGGCCTCCTCGTCGGCGCCGGGGGCAGCCTGGTAAAGTGTGATATCAGGTCAGAGACAGCAGCAGTTCCAGCGCAGGCGGTGTTTCCACAGTGGACGAGACTGAAACCAGTGCTCGGGTCGGGACTTATCGGAGTGGTGACGAGGGCTTATCGAGTTCTAGAGTCCTTATCGATAAGGAACCTCCGTGAGGTCACTGCGATGGCGCTCTCATTTCTGCCACTTGGTTCAACACTTCACGATCCAGGCCCCTCGGCAACACTTACTCACACCTCACCGACTTCCTTCCAAGCGATACCGACCTTGCTGCTGCTGCTGCTGCTGCTGCTTCGGAGGCCAGCCCTCTCCTTCTTTTCTCCTCTGCAGATTTCTTTTCGGCCATCTTCCTGTATCTCTTGCACCACCTCTTCTTCGCCGTCACGATCGTATCGTCTCAACCCCCATCGTTTGCGGTGTGCGGCGGTTACTCGGCAGTCGCTGTACCGATCTTTTGGAACCCCTCCGACATCCCCCGTGGTCGGCAACAATTCTGGGAAAAAGACTGGAATAGTGTTCTTCCGACCTGACCAGCCTGGGAAGCGACCTGGACGAAGGCATTCCCGAATTAACCAGCGAACTACCATAGCCCAGTTTCAAAGCAGCTCAGCCATCCACCATGGGTATCGGAGTGATCCCGGCGAATAGTGCCGATGAGAGCAAGAAGACACCTCGACGACAGCATACCTGGAGCTTCAGCAAGGTACGATATTACCGAATTTCTTAGTCTTCTTTTCTTTTTGATGTTCAAGAGCTTTGAGATTTTTTTTGGGGGGTCGTTGTTTTCCTGTTTTGTTTGCGCGGATTTCAGTAGTCTTGTTTACAGTGCAGCACAATGCCATGCACCGGCTTTCTCACAGGCATCGTCAAGTGACTTTTTTCTCCCTCTTTGCCCAGTCGATGGCTTCCTGGCGGTGTGAATAATCACGCAGGGGTGTTGGTCAGCGATGGAGGACCCCTCCCCTAGCCTTTTTTTTCCTTCTGGACTATTTGATACGATCTGGCAATCGTGCCGATTTGTTGGATCCGAGTCCCGGCCGGCTGGACCTGCTTGTTCGGAGCTGCTGGGCTGGGCTGCTGGGCTATGAGAGAAAAATGACCCCTGGAACAGTCGTTCAAGCCTAGACTCCTATGCGGATAGAGGCGTTTCCCCCAGCAAGTGCGGCGGTGAAATTTCCCATGTTGCGTGGTCAGGAGACTTGTCCCGGGTGACCTTTTCCCCTGGCGGGTTTTCGTGGGGGTCAGATATTAGTGGCCATTGGATTGCTCAATTGAGCCTCTCGAGAGCTTTGGGCACCTGGATGACTATGATTCTGTTGCCCGCCAAGTGGTTGATGCAATGCGAATATGATCGTTGGGTCTTTGGCTCTCTGTGGACTCTGGTGAATAGCCGCAGCCGGAGGTCGCCGAGCAGCAAACAGATGAGCCGTTGGAGTGAAAACGATTGGCAAAGTTGTCAAGACGTTGGCGGCACTAGAAAGGGCACTCTTAGGAGCATTTGTGGTTGGAATGGGAGGTTCAAGTGGACTGGAATTTGGGTTTCATTCTTCAGCATGAAGGGTCCTTCTTGTTTGCATCCTCGTCATCGCGAAAAGGTAGTCTACCGAATTCCGGTAAACGTGGTATCATGAGGAGGCTCCGGCTATGTCTGGCAAGTCAAATCGATCAGTTCGGCGTGGTCTGATGTCCACCTCGGTTGTTCTCGGTGAGAGTTGCCCTCTTGGCTTTCGGGAGGGTGGTGAACCAAGGAAGCCGACTGGCGAACTGACAACCCAAGGCTCAAGCTGGGCGCGAGTAGGATGCGACATGTCCCGGTGAGCGCTGTGGATGCGGGGATGGTCCGCTAGAGTTTGCGCTGAACTGCTGGAGCTTCAAGGCTGGAGCTTCTGCCCTCGACTCGAGCTGCCCCTCCAGAGGCCCAGTGGGCTAGGCTCCCCGACAAGGGGCACCGGGGAAAGGCGGGCAGAATGAGGGGCACCCGTATGGGGGGGATTGGAGTTCGACCCGGGGCATGGGGTCCAGTGATCCTCTATAATGGAGGGGCGGGCAGACCACGGACTAGAAGCCGCGCGAGGGGGAGACGGCGGCCTCTGCCGTTGCGCACAATGGAACGAATGACCTGCCCTGCATGCATACCCAGTTAGGTACATGCAGCTCAAGGGACACCTTATCCATCTTGTTGTGTCTGCTCAAGGTACCTTAGCTGGTGAAGCTGCTGGTGGTCTCAGTTGCGGACGGGCGAACGGGACGTCTTGAGGATGGGACTTTTCCTTTCCCTTCTATGCTTTTTGGCGTTCTTGCTCCAATGGCATCGGGCTAGAGAACAAGTCCCATTCTACCTGACCCTCCGTATGGATAGTGCAGCCTTTCGTCCACTGTTCGGTATTAGGGACCCAGCACATGTCCACAAGGTACCTTCGGAAAGATGGGGTCACCAAGCAAGCAGTGCTGTGCTCATGGAAGTACCTTACCCTTACCTTACCTTGACCACGGATACCCTTCCGCACAAACAGCGATCCATCCCCCGGCAAGGCACATGTCGCATCAGTTCATCCAGTGGTGGACTTGATATCTGAACTGGGCAGACTGACCTGATGGATGAGCTGAGCCTGGTGTCTCTCCATCATGGCCGTTGCCGTCGTTGCGCCCGCTGTTTGTTCTTTGAGGGTTTGAGTCTCATTAAGGTACCACCGAGTCCAGCGATTCCATACCTCTACTCTCAAGTACTTACCTCACTGCGAAAGAAGTAATGTACTTGCTGCTCTCGGCTCTTTGCTGGCAGCCAAGTTGATTCCAAGCAGCTTCCATTGCCTACCAAGTACCTTTGGTATTCTTGTTCCTCGGGATATCCTCTCGGCAGCCCTTGTCCTATTAGGTTCCCCCTCCTCGTTTACCTATGTTTTACGTACCTTTCTCTCGATCCCCTTCACACTTTCACAGACTTACGCACGCCGCCCATCCACTCATTACTCCATGCCCTCCACCCTCACCTTTCACCTCACCTAACATCAGGTCACTCTCTTCTCCTCACTACATCATCGTTCCCCAAACCCTGTGCAACCTCAACTGTGCTGTTTCTGCATCTCCTTACACCTACACATACCCATACCTCTACCTACCCTTACATACATACCTTGCCTCTGCCTGCAAACGGAATTCTTCAGCAAACAACGTTTCGAATCACAGCCGTTGGCTCAGTCTTCTCCCTAGTCCCTACACTTTGCCAGTATCGTTATCAAAGAAGTCAAAGAGACAAGGACCCCCTCCTTCTTCTCCTACACTTCTTTCAGCAGTTCCATGTCGTCCGGTTCAGACTGACCCTTAACCCCCGTCATCCCCGTCACCCCCGTCCCAAAGTCACCGCACCCGCCCCGAGAGTCACGCCCGAGGGGTCCCGCCTATTTGGGCGTAGAGCTACTGCCACGAGCTGGAAGCATCACGCGAGCTGCCTTCCTCCACGCTCTCTCTTTCCACGCCACTCAATTCATCTCCAGCTTCCTTCTCATGCCTACGCGTTTTCAGCTTCTACAACATCCTTTTCCTTCTGTCTCGTCATAACAACTTCCGCTTGGACAACTACCAAAAAGAGAGAGGGAACGAGAGAAAGCACAGCGTCAAGATGCCGGCCAAGACTAACGGTATAGGCATTCAGGTGGAGGATACCAAGATATGCGTCGTCATGGTTGGTCTGCCCGCTCGGGGCAAGAGCTTCATCGCTCAGAAAGGTGAGTAAATATTCTAGCTGCGTATTTCTCCAGAGAATGTTCAGCAAACGACGCCGCTACCACTTTGGCGCATTTTCACAGCGTTGATATCACGATTATTTGACACTGACGTGATTGGCTCAGCGCAACGCTATCTGGGTTGGCTCTCCATCAAGGCAAAGACCTTCAACGTCGGCAGCTACCGCCGCCAGGAGGATGCGCACCCCTCGGCCGACTTCTTTGACTTCTACAATACCGAGGGCGAGCGCAGACGTCGCGCCGCGGCCGAGAAGGCCATCGAGGATATGCTGGCCTGGTTCCGCCAGGGTGGTGTAATTGGCATCCTTGATGCCACCAACTCCACCAAGGAGCGCCGCAAGTGGGTTCTCGACATCTGCACCAAGGAGGGCATTGAGGTCCTCTTCGTCGAGAGCAAGTGCGACAACGAGAACCTCATCATGGCCAACATCCGCGATGTCAAGACTACCTCGCCCGACTACCAGGGACAGGACCCCGAGGAGGCTGCGCTTGACTTCCGCAACCGCATTCGCAACTACGAGAAGGTCTACAAGACGCTTGACGAGGATGGTGATGAGAACGAGTACACCTACCTCAAGATCATGGATGTCGGCAAGCAGGTTATCATCAACCGCATTCAGGACTACCTTCAGAGTCGCGTTGTCTACTACCTCATGAACTTGCACATTCGCCCTCGCTCCATCTGGCTCTCTAGAGTATGTGTCACTAACTTTGCGCTGTTGAGTCTTGGCTAATGGTGAACAGCACGGAGAGTCCATGTACAACTTGGATGGCCGCATTGGCGGCGACACTACGCTCTCTCCCCGTGGTGAGCAGTATGCGCGCAAGCTTCCTGAGCTCGTCCGCGATTCAGTTGGTGTAAGTCATTCCAAAGGAAGTATCTTTCTGTCCAGGTTGCTGACCAACCCACAGGACGACCGTCCCTTGACCGTCTGGACCTCGACTCTCAAGCGCACCA